AATTACAATTATTTGTAATTTTTAATTATTAAAAAATATTAAAAATATTTAAATAATTTAAATATAAAAAATTAAATAAAAGATAATTAATAAAAATATAAATAATTAATATTTTAGATAATTATATATAAAAATTTTTGAAGATATATTAATTAAATAAATAATTTATATAATAATAAATAATTTTTAGAATTAAAATTTAAAATTGTTAAATAATAATTAGTTAAATATTTTATTACTAATTAGGTAGTTTTTTTTAATATATTTAAATTTTATTATAAAAATATTTAATTTTATTAAAGTAAAATTAAAATTTAATTTATTATTAGTTAATTTTAAATAAAATTTTATTTAAAATTATATATTTATTTTAAAAGTTAATGTTGATCCTTTTAATTAATAAAGGTTCTTTAAAATAAAGTATAATAGTTATTTAAATTAAATCTTTATAAAATTTAATTTATACTTATCTTTTTCTTTTTCTAAGAATTCCTTTTTATATATATTGTAAAAATAAGTTACCATATCATTCTGAAATTAAGCACTCCTTTTTTGTTATAGGGATGCTTAATTTCGAATACTTTTTAAAAAATTTTATTTTAATAATATTTTAGTAATAAATTTTGATGAATTTAATAATAACAATTGCTGATTTTTTTATGTAACATAATGCAAATAATGTAATATACATGAAGTAACATAACTTACGATTCTTAAAAAAGTTGTGTTTTTTTTTACTGCATTCTTGTTATTTTTAAAATGCCTCATTTACGCATGCAGTCAAGAAATAAAAAGGGAAAAAAGGCTCTTAAATACATCATATGAAGTCAAAATTCATATTCTATTAAGTAAAAGAGGCAAGTCATCAATTATGCCAAAGAAAATAGAAGAAATGAAGCTGCAAGACACTTTAGACTTAATAGTAGCATGGTTGATCATTGGATTAAGGCAAGCAATAAATGGGCCGAGATAGATCAAAATGTTAAGCAAGTTGATACTGAACAAAAAGAAATTTATCCCAAAACTGAAAAAAAGCTGTATAAATGAATTATAGAGTAGAGGAAATAGGGATTAGGCATTACTTATGTGATCGTACGAATCAAAATGCTAGACATCTTAAAGGAGCCTAAGATAATAAATCTTTATGGAAATTCAGCATTTAAAACGTCATTTCGTTGGATGTTTGCTTTATGAAGAGATATAAGCTGTCTTAATAACGTCATACTAGAATTTCCTAAAAGCTTCCTACATAAATCAACGAATTACTAAAAAACTTTCATCAATTTATTATCCACCTTAGAACTAAAAAATCGTTTGAATTGTCCAATATTTTCAATATGGATGAAATTCCTGTCTGATTCGACATAGCAGGAAATTTTACTATCGATCAAACAGGTGAAAAGACAGTCTATATTCGCAGGACTGAAAATGAAAAAAATTGATTCACAGTTATTTTGACATGTGCTGCAGGTAGAAATTGTTTTATTATTCCTGCAAAATTTGAAGATTTTTTTTTAATTATCATAATTAAACATTTTCTATATATAGATAGAACAAATTTCTCCCGATTTGCATCTTTAAAGGAAAATGATTACCACGTAGTGAATAAATTCCATCTGGTATCATCGTTTGATTTCAAAAAAATGGATGAATGGATACTGATTTATTAATGATATTATTAATAATGCTCCAATGATGATGGTATATGACTTCTTTTGAGGACATATAGAAGAATCTGTTAAGAGTAAGTTTCGTGATAGTTGCATTGATTTGGCAGTTATTTCAGGTGGTTTAACCAGCATTTGTCAACCACTCAATGTCACTATTAATAAGCCATTCAAGAATAATCTTCACAAAGAATGGCATTTTTGGATGGCTGAAGGTAGTGCCGGAGTGACTCCTGTGAGAAATCTTCATCATGCTAAATTATCCAATGTTTGTGGGTGGGTCAAATATGCTTGAAAAGAAATTCTAAATGAAATGATTATGGAGTCTTTTAAAACTTACAAGATATCAACTCCTTTAAAACAAATCAGATGATGAAATTACTAGTGATATTGATGGTGATGAAGTTGATGATATCGATAGTGATGATGATATCAATTGCGATGATGATGAGGATGTTGATGATGATAATAATATTATCGATGGCGATGATGAGAACGTCGATGATGATATTGATAATGATAATAATGTCATTGATAGTGATGATGATGCCAAATATTTGCCATAGTGGTTTAGTTTAATTAATATAAATGCTTTAATAAAAAATGTTACAGATCGGTACTGGAAATCTTGCAATATAATAAAAATATAAAAAATGCGCATTTTTGATAACAATTTAATATTTATTTAAGTATTTATTTGTTAATTACTAAAACAACTAAAAAAATTTACAGTTTTCGAGGGGGGTGCTTATTTTCAGAACTGTAATAATTCGGGGAATGCTTACTTTCAGGAATGCTTAATTTTGGAATGGTATGGTATATTATTTAATAGTTTCATATTTAAAATAATAAAATGTAATACAGTTAATTTTTGATTAAAGCTCTGAACGGTTCAGTTCAGTCCAAATTAGATGTCAATCTGTATCTGAACTGAAAATTTCGATTCAATTCAGTTCAGATTATTAATTTTAAAAATGCTAATCTGAATCTGAACTGAACTGCAGACTGATAAAAATCTGAACTGAACTGGAATTTTCAGATTAATCCAAAATTACAGTTTAATTATATAAGAAATCCACAATTTATATGCGAAACTCTAGGAGAATCGCAAAAAATTGCGAATTTCTCTTTAAGGTTTGCGAAATTTGAAGAGAAATCGCAATTTTTTGTGACTCTCCAAGAGTTTCGCGATAATTTTGTGAAATTCAAAGAGAAATTGCAAAAAATTGCGATTCTCTAAAAGTTTCGCTAAAGTTTTGCAATTCTCTTAGAGAATTCACAAATTTTGCGATCCTTCAAGAGTTTCATATATAATCAAACTGAACTTTCAGATTAATCTGAAATTATCAATTCAGTTCAGATTTTTTTTGGTTCAGATTAGAATTATAATCTGAAAAATATCTGAACTGAACTGAAAATTTTTGGATCGATTTTTATGCAATCTGAAACTGAACTGAACTGAACTGATTGAAAAATCTTTGGATTAATCTGAACCATTCAGAGCTTTACTTTTGATATAGCGAACTCTTAATATAACAAATTTTTTAAATAAATATAATAAAATACTCTTGTTATAGCGAATTAGTCAATCAAATCTCTTAAAATCTTCACTATAGCCTTATAGTGAAGTTGAAATCTAAGACATAAAATTTGTTATAATAAGAATTAACTGTATAATAATATTTAAATGAATGAAATTTTGAATAAAAGAAATTATATGACTAAGTATAAATTATTTAAAATATTATTTTATTATAAGTATATAAGCAAATTTTAATTTTTATAATATATTATGTTCATTTATATTTAATAATAATATGTGTTTTATAATTTATTAATAAATAATATTTTCTAATTGATATTTAATACTTATTACTTAAAATTAAATAATAAATATATGAATATTTTGTAGTAAAAAGAAAGAAAATTATAAAAAAATTTTTTGAATTAATAACATTTTTTTTGACATATTGCAAAAATGTATACAAAATTTTAAAACAAAAAGATTGTTAAATTTATTTAACGTTATCATATTTGTATCTTTAACAAAAGTGATAGTAGTTTATTATCATAGATTTTTAATCAGTATAAAACATCAAATGATCTTATTAAAAAGGAAAAAAAGGATCTAATATTTGATTTAATTGTAAAAATTGGAATTTTAGTGATTCTGATCAATATATTTTACAATTAGTGTTTGTTAAGAGGCAAAAATATGTCATTATTTAAACTTAGTAATTTTAATATAATTACCTTGTTGATATTACTACCTGTTGTAAAGTCAACTCAATTATTCTTTTATCAAATTAGTGAGTGAATACGAACTGATATATTAATAAAAGAGGTAAAATATAATGCAAATATCACTACTTACTTGATTTCTCACAGTTTGTTTTTCAGAAAAAAATATATTAACAATATAATAAGTGAAAAAAAGTATTTTTTTATACTCAAAGTAGATATCTTTAGTTTATTTATTATTCAATTTATTTTTAGCAATATCAAATATAAAAAGTAATTGTTTTAAAAGTTTTTTCTTTATCAAAAAGGTAGCAATTACTTCAATATTTATATTATTTAAAGAAGTTTTAGTAATATCTTTAACTAAAATCAAGGGAGTATTAAACAGAAATTGTTTAAGTTATTGTTTTTTAACAACAGGTTATTATTTATTATTATTAAAAGCTGAGCAGTCTATATAATTTCTAGTTTTATTTTTATGATTATTATTTTTCTTTTTCTCTTAAAAAAATTTTTAATGTAATTCTTATTTTATTTTGTTAATCAAGAAGATCAGTAAAAAGAGTTTTTTAATTTATATATTAATAATTTTTTTTTTTATATGTGATAGCTTTGCACAATCTTTATTAAAAAAGTAAAGTAAAATTTTACAAAATTACAAATTACAAATGAGAAAGTATAAAAATTAATTTATATATTAATAATAATTTTATTTTTGTTTAAAAACAAAATTTTATATACTATTATTTATATATACTTATATAATTTTTAAGTTTATTAATATATACATCTTATTAACATTTGATATTATTTAAAAAGGGTTTTAGCAATCAGCTTTAAAAGCTTAATTTTTACAAACTTTCTTTACCATTCTACTCTTAAAATCTTTATATACAGTATGATTATCAATAATTTTATATTACAAATATGATAAAAAACACACTAAGCTTAAATGCAACCTGTATTATATTCAAGTAAAACTATGCTCACATAGATTACTTAAAAATACTTACCCGCCTAATACATGATGCCTTAGCGAAATCATTCTTCCTTGTATTTATTATTATCAGAGCGCAATAAAAGAAACAACATTTATTCACTCGAATTCACATCGATATCCTTAACTAAATCCCTAATTAATCTCATAATGCCTACCGAGAGACCATAAGTGAATTCAAACAGGCCATGTCGACGAGAAAGTGTTTCTTGGTCTAGACTAATAAAAGCTGGTCCATCCACCTCTTGTTCTTTCATTTTATTCTCTATTCTTGTAATTTGATCATCACTAAAATGAGTCACATTTTTCTTAGACTTTATGAATTCTATAACATCTTCACAAGTCCATTCCTCGAAATTCAATTTCACTTTTTTTGTTTGAGTTATTGGTATTTCTTCAAAATTAACACCTCGCTTGCGAGATGACATCTGCTATAGTTTTAGGATTAAACAAGTAGAAGGTTAGATAACGAAAAAATATTTTAAGGTCGTTGATAATTAAATAAAAAAATGTTGCCGATACAATAGATATTTTAATCGTTAGTGGAACATTTACCTTATTAACATCTTCATCCGACCTTCTCACGTCTTGTCCTTCTTCGTTGCCTTTTGAATGATTTTTATGGTATATATTGTTTATATTTTCAAAAGAAGCGCGTTCACTCGTTACTAAGCTTTCACAAGTATCAATGGAGTTGCACATTACGGAGCGAACAACGTTTATCTGCGGTTAAGAAATGCAGTCAGTTATGGATCCAAGTTTGAATTTTCAACATTTTCCTAACCTCTGTAGATCGTAAAGTTTCACTCATTTCTTTACGGATTTCAATCCTTTCCCAAAAGGCACCTACATCTTTAAAATTTTTCCGATGATTCTTATAGTATCATAAGAAAAAGAAATTAATATGGAGGAATTAAAAAAAAAAAAATAAGCAAAGTTGAGGCCAACACAACAGAGACGTAGTCCGTAAGACGACATGGCGTAGGTGTCGCCCTTAGTTGTGTTAATCGCCACGACCTCCACACAACAGAGACGTAGTCCGTAAGACGACATGGCGTAGGTGTCGCCCTTAGTTATGTGGGTTCGTGTCAGGAGGTAAGACGTAGTTCACCTCCTCAAAGTCGTGCAACGCATCCTTTGCCTCCAACCTTGCAGAAAACTCGACTGAAAATATAAAAGCCTAACCTTAAAACATTTTTTCATACGAGTAGCGGATTTCTTCATATCTCTTGAGCCATAAATAACCAATTTTTCAAGATCCCTTTTTAATGACCGGGCTTCTATCTCAAATATAAAAGAAAAGTCGCGTTGTTTTGCTCGATACTCATAATAAGACAGGAATTGGTAGTTTTCTGAATTTACTTTGTTGAAGTAAGTGCACCATCTTAAAGCCATTATAAAAAAAGACAAATAAGATCAAGCGCGACCGATTTCACTTCACACTAAGTACAGTCCGGGGGATATGCCAAATTAGGAGATTGAGTTCTAGAATAATCCATGAGTAGATTCGTAGATTTGATTGGCTCAGGTACTTTTTTTTTTCGTCTATGATATTTTATATATTACATGTATTAATAATGTATTAATAAAAATATATACAAATAGACAGTATAAAATGTCTAATTTCAATAATCCCAAATAATCCCTTATAGCTAACTGTTTTTGAAAAAGTAAATGAGATCTAAAGATTAAGGATTTTCCTTATATGTTATTAAGTAAGAAGTAATAAAAAGAATGCAATTTTGTTAACTTTAAATTAATCTTTCTGTAGTGTTTTCTTATCAGAACCAAGAGCAAAAGATCTTTTATGCATTTTTGCAGACTTAGTTGAAAAATATAATGAAGTTAGGTTAAAGTCTTGTGAATCTAAAAAATAATAAAAATGGCGGCATGCGAGTGGTCAGGAAACAGCTAAGCGACTTATACTTTATCATGATTTTTTTCCTGACTTGCTAATTTTTATCCTTTAGAATCCTATTCAATTTGTGAGAAACATTATAATTAAATCATTTCAACTAATCAGTTTTATTAATATCTAGTAGGTTCTGTTCAAAAAAGCAAAAGATTCTGACTTGATGCTAATCAAGATAATGATTATACTAATATAATGGTTAAGCTTGTTAGGATTAAAAAGCTTTTAGAATCTATTTAATTAGAAAATTAGCAGAAAATACAATCAATAATAGAACTCAACAATCAAATTTAACGGATGCATTAGTTTTTTAAAGATTAAAAAGATGAAGTAAAAAAATTAAAAAAAAAACTGCAAAAAGCCTATGATGATATGAATATGATGTAAAATTTGTATGAAAAGCAATGTGAAAGTAATAAAACTCTAGTTGAATAGTGGAATTTATGATTTGATAGCTAAAACAAACATATTAATGCAATTATAGAAATAGTAAAAGCAGAATGTGAACTATTATTCAAAGATGTAAGTTTACTAATTTGAGATAGTGATAGGTTTTTTCTGAAATCTCATAATATATAATCTATATGAATAGCTCAATAGGCATAATCAAGTTGCTATTAAATTTATTGAAATTCTAATTCAAAATAATCGAGACTTTGATGTTTTAAGTCAGAAAAAGCTTTTTAAAACTGCCATCATGATTGATTTAATATATGAGACATGACATAGAAAATATGTGTCAGAAATTTAACTTGCTACTTTAGCTATTAAATATTCAATTGCACAATCAAAATTGGTTATTAATATCGATAATCATATTACAAGTTTAGAAAGCTATTATTGATTTCAAAAGTAGCTGGATGAATTATCAAAGTATAAAGAACTATTACCCAAAGGTCTTCTAGTCCTCGCATTTGATAATGAACAAAAAAGACAGAAGAACTATCTTGATCGAGAATCTAATATGGTCATTTACCATATTGTTATCAGTTTCGTTGCTTTTAATATGGTATTACAAAATAGAATTTAACATATTAATTTACCTTAGTTGTATCAGTCTCTTTTTAGGTTACAGTATGAAGAATTCTTTGACATCAACCCTTAAATGTAAAAAATAATTGACAAGGAACTATATACTTACCTTTTCAAAATTCTTAATTTGTTATCTAAAGAAAAATCATTCTCTACTAATATTATCAATTCTCTTGTAATTCTACAACAACCAATATTATTAATATGAAATTTTGTCTCAACTGCGATCAACAAAACATTGAGAATTGAAAAAAGGTATGTTTAAATTACAAAATACTATTATCAATATTAACTGAAATCTAAAAAGAAACTGAAGTCAAAAATATTACAATTAATCAATTAAACAACTTACTTACCTTTAAATCTTATAACATTGATGACAAACAAAGTATCACATGTGTCCCTAGAATCAGTCTTACTTAAAGCTCTGAATGATTCAGATTAATCTAAAGATTTTTAGATCAGTTCAGTTCAGATCAGTTTCAGATTGTATAAAATCAATCTGAAAATTTTCAGTTCAGTTCAGATTTTTTTCAGATTATAATTCTAATCCAAACTGAAAAAAATCTGAACTGAACCGATAATTTTAGATTAATCTGAAAGTTCAGTTTGATTATATGTGAAACTCTTAGAGAATTACAATTTTTTGCAGTTTCTCTTCGAATTTCACAAAAAAATTGCGAAAACTTTGAAGAATCGCAATTTTTTGTGATTTCTCTTAGAATTTTGTAAAGTTATCGCAAAACTCTTGAAGAATTGCAAAAAATTGCGATTTCTCTTCGAATTTTGCGAACCTCAAAGAGAAATTCGCAATTTTTTGCGATTTTCCTAGAGTTTTGTATATAAATTGCAGATTCTTTATATAATCGAACTGTAATTTTAGATTCAAAAATTCTGGTTCAGTTCAGATTTTTACAGGTTTGCAGTTCAGTTCAGATTTGGATTAGCATTTTTAAGATTAATAATCTGAACTGAACTGAACTGAAATTTTCAGTTCGAATATAGATTGACATCTAATCTAGACTGAACTGAACCATTTAGAGCTTTAGTCTTACTCAACAAAAAGTTACTGATCTGAGAGTTAATATTTCTAAGATTTATGTTCCTGATCCTATTAACGTTAATTCTAACTCAATTATAAATATTGAAAAGGTACTTTCACATATAGAAATAATATCAGGCATTAAGGATGAAACTTACAAGTGAATCGTTGTCATCTGTGATAGTGTTCTGTACCATAATGCTACTAAGTTGAAGAAAAAGTTTCTCTGGTTAGTTCTTATACTAGAACAATTACATGAAGAAATGAATATGCTTCAAGCATATGTAGAGTTAAATTGGTAAGTAATATAGATTTAAAATCTAATATTTCTCACTTTAACATTACTAGATATTTTTTTATACATTAGGAAAATTGATTTGAAATAGTTTGCAATATGTCAAGATTATCAAATTGAAAATCAGCTTACCTATTTCAAAAAATGTATAGATTATCATAAGTCTTGGAATTTGATTTGTAGTATATATCTTCAAGCAATAGCTATAAAGCTTTTATGACTGTATATAAAAAGCCATTTAACCCAGATATCTTGCATGGGTTAAAGAATAGTAAGATTCGCTTTATCAAATAAAATAAGAATAGGTTACTATTAATTAATTAATTTTTTTTTTAATTATTATTTTTTAAATTAATACTAACTTATTTTTTAATAAGATATTTGTTTACCTTCAAGCAATAATTAATTATCGAAAAGCTATAAGAACTAATAATTCTCTTTTAAAAAAGGCTGTTAAAAGAACTTTTTCTCCTATTTGGTCTGCAAGATGTCATCCTATTTATCGCCTAATAGATATTTCTGATGAAATTCAGTTGATGCAATTTCATTTAGAAATGCAGAATATAATAGAGAAAAATTGTATTATTTTGCAATCAGGTATTTATGAACAGCATCAAGGGTTAGATGCAATTATAAAAGAGGTGAACAAGACCTTAAAAACTTTAATATCTTTTATTCTACAATATCGTCATTGAAAGATTGCATCACATAATTGTAAAAAGTTCTTTGAGATAAATTTTTTTAATTTTAAATTAAACCAATTTTATATACACATAGATACTAATTATTTATTTTAGCTTAGAAATAATTTATTTAAAACAATTAGATATAATAATCACCAGCAATCAGGATCAAGAACTCAATTAGAATCAACTATGGAATGCTAAAGATTTTGAACTCTTTTGCAAAGTCTTGAATTTGTGAATTCAAAAAATACACAGACCATTTGTTAAAGCCTGGAGGAAGAATATGAGTTGATTGAACATTTAAAAAATTTCACACATATTGCAAAACAATATTAACAAAATTTTATTGAAATATTTATTAACAAAAAACTATCTTCTTTTTTTAGGCCAATACCAATTACAAAACAAGAAGCAGATGCATAAGAGAATGAAAAAAATATGAACAAGGCAGAAATTTTGTTAAAGATCAAAACTCTTCTTGAACAACTAGGTGAAAATATTTGAAAAAAATATTCCAAATTGAAATCAAAAAAATGAAGCAAATTATTAAACATATTGCAAGAGATAAAGCATTTATTCACTTTGAATAATAAATTTAATTTAAAATAAATTTGTATTTGTATTACTTCAGTATTTGTATTTTGTCTTTTTATTTACACTTTTTTTGATGAATAATAAATTTAATTTTTTATTAGTTAGAAATGAAATGAAAGATTATATAATACTATATAAGATAATATAAAATGTTTTAATATTTATTCATTAATAATTGAGTTGATGTAGCATTTTGCAGTTGAAAGAGAAGAAACTACCAAAAAGAATTTTTTGAATTAATGTTAAATCTGAATTTATTTAATTAAAAATAATAATTAGCTATAAAGTAAAAAATTTTTCTTTTGGTAATTTCTTACTTTTTTACTACAAAACACTTATATAAATATTTATAAATTATTTATTACAGATATATATTTACTAGATCAATCTTTGTAATATTTGAAATATATCATTTGAAAATTATACCAAAAATATTTATTAAAAAAAAACATTTTATTTATTTAAAATTGATATATAATTTTAACTATTAATATAAAAGATATTAATTAAGTTCTTACCTATTATAAGTATTTATGAAATAGAATCTAATTAAAATAAAAGCTAATACCTTAAAAATGATATTCACTAAACATTGATACCTTTTCTTATTATATTTTCGTATTACGATATTATTAATATCATAGATGTAATAGTAAACTAATTTTTTCATTTAAATTTTTGATATTTTAGATTGTAAATGTGGATTTTTAAAAGCTTAGAATAATATAATTATTAGAGTAAAGGGGGAAAAATGATTACTAATTTATTGTCAGTAACACGTGATCTTTTTAAACGTCACGCGCGTTAGTATTCACAGGCCCACTAAATTGAACTAATTTTAGAATATTTCTTTTTTTAAAAATAAAATACATCAGGTTGATTCCGGAATTCTAAACCGGTTCCGGATCCTAAACATTATTTATTTTGGTTTTTTTTTTGTGACGCGTCCAAACTTTTTTTCTCTCTCGCTTTAAACTTATGTTTACAGACACCACCAACTCACGACTTGCCACGTCAAAAAGCTATCAACGGGATTATAGAGAACTTGATCCAAACAAACCAGGTATATTTTTCTCAACAAAATTTATCACCGAAACCCTTTAAAATTATTTATCGATTTTTAGGCAAACTCGATCCCGATCAAGTTCGAGTCAATATCTTCAAGAATGTGTCCAATGTTGAGATTTCAAGGAAGGAACATCACTCTAAAGAAAGGAAAAGGAAAAAGATCAATTATTGTTATAGTGACACCGAAGATAACATGACGGACTCTTCCGATGACCAAAAAGAAAATAATAAAGTTATATCGAAAAAATATGAGTCACATCATATGAATCAAGATGTTAATGGACAAGTAATCTCTTCAAATCTACAACTTGAAAATGTCAATGTTAAAATCGAATTAAAAGAAATCGACCATCCGCCTCACCTTAACGAAAAAAATACTAGTGAAGAGTTAAGATGTGCAGTATCGGATTTTAATAAAACGTTTAATGAACAGAATTATTTGATAACCCCGACAACTCACATAAATGACAACCAATTCAATTGTGACGAACCTGGATGTGGAAAACGATTCTCAATTTCCTCATATTTAAAAATACATCAAAACTTACAACATCATATGAGTCAAATGGGAACGATTGATTACGTCGAGAAGGTTAAAGAACAACAGCCAATTGATGATGTCAAGGTAATAAAGTGTACGCTGTCCGGATGTAATAAAACTTTCAAGGATCAAAAAAATCTGAAGAGACATTTGGAACTTCATAAAGGTGAAAAACCTTTCATTTGTGACGAACCTGGATGTGGAAAACGATTCGCTTTACGAGATTATGTAAAAACTCATCAAAAACGACAACATGAAATGAAACGCCGTCAAAATGAATCAAATAAACATCATCAGCAATCTAAAAAAGACAATAAAGAAGTAAAGTGCCCAAATCCCGGTTGCGACCAAATATTATCTAAAAGGTTCTTAGATAAACACCTGAAAATTCATGAGAGTGAAATGCCTTATGTCTGTAATAAGCCTGGATGTGGAAAACGATTTACAATTCCAGATTACTTAAAGATCCATCAAAAAATTCATAATAATTTGATCTACGCATCAAATCTTGCAAATTATCCTACCGAGGAGGTTCACATCGTCATCGAAGATAGAGGCCAAAAAGACGACTTTGTGTTGATGGCGATAAGATGTACGGTCCCCGGTTGCAATAGAAAATTCCAAAAGGAAAAATCATTGAAAAAACATTTAAAGATCCATAACGATGAAAAGAGATTTGTATGTAACGTAAAAGGATGTGGTAAGAAATTCGTATTATTATATTATTTAAAATGTCATCAAAAACAACATATGAAACAGACCTTCGATGAAGATGTTTCTATCAAAAATGTCAAAGTTGTAGCAACACCAACTGAAACACGAAAAAAGCAACAGCAATGATTAGTCCGAAGGACTACATATGATTACAAAAGATGTCCCGCTTATCAGTTTGATTGGAGCATCGCATGTATAAATGCACACTACTTCCTTTTTTGTGTTAATTCGATAGTTAACTAAATATATCGAAATAAAATATATAGAAATATAATTTTTTTTTTTATTACTGTAAATAATAATTTAATTTATTAAATAATTGAATTTAGTATAATCAAATAACAAATAAACTACTAATTAAAAGTAAAATACAAAATGATATAAACAGTTTTCCATTTTTTGTTTGAATGTTCGCGTTATTGTATCTTTGAACGCAATCTTATTTCTTCTTCCTTTTTTCTTGAAGTCTTTTACAGTTTTTTATACGGTCAAGCCTATCGAAGCTAAAACACACGTCATTTAGTGTACGACGTTAAACCCCAGCAAACTCCTTGCTTCTAATATCTATTTTGGCTTTTTTCAATGTCAGCCCTTGGCGGTTATTGTCCATGCAAGACAAACTTGTTATCTGATTTCTGGAACAAGTCCTTCCAACTGCGTTTGAAGAATACGAATCTTTCATCAAATTACATCATACACGTGATTAAACTTTGGGTGCACAAATGCACAGGGGCACCATTTAAATTTTCCCCCGTTTTAAATGTTGAAATATTGGTGAAACGACGTTGTGATTTTGATTTATAAACAAATAAAAATTTTATTAATTACTTTTAAAAACAAAAATGTACACGGAAAATAAACATTATAAAATTGATTTAATTTATCAATTTTTTTCACTTAAATTCATGATATCTTTTCTTTTCGCGGCTTTATGACCATCAGAAAAGTTTGTTATAAGTTTTTCTACTCCAAAATATTTAAATATTTCATCAAGTATTGAAGACTCTTTTTCACGCTTAATGATAATGTTAATTACGATTTCTTGTTGTATATTATTGATAAATTGAATATATTGATCTTTCGTTTTGGAATTATTAAATGTGTTTGAATACATCTCTTCGAAATCTTTTAAATTGTCGACGTTCCATAATGGATTAGATGGATCGACTTTATGATGATTTAATAAAAACTTCTTGAACTCATCAAATGTTGACTTGGAAGATGAAAGTTCTTCATAAGGAGGCGGTGGATTATAAGATATGTTATGCTTTTTAATTTGATCATATTGTATATGATTAATAAAATCAATATACTGGACTTGTATATTAGATTCATTAAATGTTTTAGAGTATATATCTTCAAATTCTTTAACATTATCTACATTCCATAACGGATTTGATGAGTCTACTTGTTGATTATTCAATAAGAATTTCTTGAACTCATCAAAGTTCACTAGTGTTGACTTAGATGATGATAGTTCCTCATAAGGAGGTGGTTGATCATAATCATTGATTTCATGTTCCTCTGATGTTATTATTGTAATTGGAAATTCAAAATTGTCTAAATATAACTCTTCAAATTCTTCTTCTATAAGGGAATTTTCATTATCTTTAAGAGTTTCTGTTGAAATGATTAAATCCTGTACACATTCATTCACAACAGCATCATTCGATAATTTTTCATTGTCTAAAATATGTTCATCTTCCAGATATTTTTGATGACTTAAGATTTCTTCGAGTTCTACTTCATCCATATGTTGCATATAACAACATTCAACACCTTCATTTATTGTAATTTGATGATTCTCTTCATCACAACGTTGATAATTAATTATTAGATTTATTATTTCAACAGGTTCGTTTTCTTCGTTTGTGATATGTTTGAAGGATGTAAAAGTGAATTCATTATCCAAATAATTTTGATATTTAATTTCTTCTTCAACTTTTGGTAAATCGTTATCCACTTCATCACTTGAATTCTCATCTTTTTCACCTTCCTTCTTCTCTTCATGTGATATGTTAGATATGTTATCGTATTGTAGACGAGGGGTATCCACATTGGCAATATTTTTATAACCTTCAATATGTGTCTGGTCTTTCGGTAAATCGTTATCCACTTTATCAATTGAATTTTCATCTTTTTCACCTTCCTTCTTCTCTTCATGTGATATGTTAGCGTGTTGTAGACGAGGGGTATCCACATTTGTATTATTTTTATTATCTTCAATGTGTGTCTGGTCTTTCCTGTTATCATTATTAATATAATATGTATTGTGAATTGTAATGTATTTAGGGATCTCATTTCTTGTTTTCACACTTATTAAAGAATCACGACTAGAACTACTACAACTACTTCTTTCGTCCTTTGAAGACTTTTGAAATTTGTTCAAACTTGATTCTTTCTCTCTTTCCTCTCTTTCTTCCAGGATTCTTTTAAATTCAAGTAAAAGCGCATCTTTATCAAACACAACATCTTGTGATGAATTATTTCGTTCATGATTTTCTTTAATCTCTTTGTTGATCTCTCTAACTTCTTGAACCATCTTGACAATCATATTCCTTTCTTTCATTAATTGAGTTACGTTATCAACGATACGATTACGTAAACTGTATTCTTTTTGTTGACGAATTTGTTGAACATTAATCGATACTCTGGATGGAATTTCACGTAATTTTGAATTTATTCTGATAGAATTGCGAAAGTTACTAAATCTACTTTTTCGTTTTCGTTCATGAGATGAAAATGATGTATCTGAAACTGGAGTGTCAGGGGGTGTGAATTGTTGAATAGATTCTCGATTAAAACCAGAATAAGAAGGTAATGTTGTGGGATTCAAAGAAGGTTTTGTAAATGAGAAAGGTATGTTACGAGAGTTACGTAGTGGAAGATTGAAAAAAGGAATGGATCCGGGAGAAGATAAAGGCCGTGGAGGAATCGTAGAGTTAGAATTAAGAGAATCAAGGGTGGAACGTCGAGATTTGAAATATTTGAAATCCACTTTAATCTAGTTATAATGCACGCATGTGATATTAATGAGAAGAGAAAGGAAAACAAAAAAAAAAAAAAATGAACCCCCAAAAAAAAATTTACCATATTCTTGACTTCTTCCCCTTTACTGATTTTCCTCGTAACATATAAAACTTCAACTGCTTTAAAGGTCAATTGTTTTTTAATATGAGATTCGTATATCTCATTACAAAATCCAATAATTTCTTGAATATTTGACTTCATATGAAGAAAGAACTCTGTTAGCATCCTTTGTATCAAATCTAAATACCCTATTAAAAGGGTATCGATATGATCGGGTAACGAGCACCCCGTCAAACTCCTAAGAATAGATAACCGTCGTTTAGTTTTTAAAAATTGAAATTCATTTTTTTTTTTTTTTTCAAAAAGAAATAAAGATAAATTAATCATAATAATGATTGATCACTCACCCTCCGGATTTAAGTATTTTATATTCGAAATTTCGGAATTTCGTATTTTTTCTTTTAACCTTTTTGAATTCTTCGGTTGATAAACCATATAAATGTTTATAAAATTGAGTGATCCTTTCCGATTTTTCCGGTTCAAGATTACATTTCAAATAATCCTGACGTAATTTGAAAAAGCCAACGCGTATCGTTTGCCAATCATAATACCATTCTCCGGCGGTATATTCAAACTACATGGGAAGATGGCGCAGAATAATGATTTTGATTGGTTAGCGACCGAAACCGGAAAGGGTGTGTAAAGAAAACACGAATTCAATCAAAATTGATCCTTACATCCAAGACTTTAATAAAGGCACCAAACGCAGCCCAGTATTCTTTATTCATAACACTAAGTATAACATCCAAAATATTACTAGTCGTGCCAAGTACATTACTCATAGTTGATTGATCATCCTTAATCTTTCTTAAACACGTTCGTATTTCACGAAGGGAGAACGTGATATTTGCGTTTATAACCTTTGTAGTTCGATAAGTGGCCCAAAACTTTGAGACGGATTTATAAAGCGATTCTCGGATTCTTGATTCAATCGCTGGACCGGATTCACAAGCAACCAATTGTGAGAATATGTGTAACACTGAAGACATGGCACGACTGTGAATGCAAAATTTGAATGAGTTAAGGTGTCTAAACGACTGGACGTTATAATTTATAACGTAACCTACAGGTGAAGTTCAAGTCGCGCGGTCGAATTTCCATAATGAATCCATTGACGGTTCGAAAGATGAATGGCGGCTTGAGAAACGAAATTTGTCACTGAAATGGATAAAAGAGAAAAGATGATTATTTTATCGTTAAAGGTCATGTAATGATCATATGATATGATACAAGGTAATATATGATGATACTTTACCAACGTCATTCGTAACTTGACGACCGACCAAATCCTCCGTCAAACGAATGGTCTCCTTCAAAAGGTAACCATAAGCACTGAAAACAAAAAACAAAAAAAAAAAAAATGGACCAAAAGTCAGAATTCCGATTGTTTAAAAAAATAAAAATAATAATCTAATAATAATAAAAATTTCACAACTCATAAGAAGACTTACATAACATTTTCATCCGCTAAAAGTTTAAGGATATCTTGATATTCTTGAATTTGATTTTCTGATATTTGGATTTCGGAATTAGTGGAATCAATTGAATTAGTATCATCATTAATATTATTAATTGCAATAGGTGGTAAAATGAAAGAATTATGCACGGATGACATTTTTTATAAAATTTAATTTTTTTTTAAGTGACAAAAAATTCTCACCTTTTAAAAGAATGAATGGTTACTCAACCGTAACCTGAGATAAACATGGGTCGCACAGACCTTTTTTACATCCAAGATCAAACATTGCAGTAAATTTAGTAAATTTATTACCAGAATGGGAGATTAATAACATCCTTCTACTCTTCTTTTTTTTTTTTAAAAAAAAAAAAAAAAAAAAATAATAATAAAAATAAAATAAATAATAAATAAAATAAAATAAAAAATAATAAAAATATAGAGTCTACAAGCCCTGAAAATAAAAAGATCTTATCTTCACATCGTTTTCGAAATCAGGCTTACCTAGTTTGCCTTGGCAATATAAATATACATGCAAGCTTATATGTCATTTATCTAAGTCCAGCGAAGGCATTTTTTTTTTTTGATTTAATGAACAATAATTAAATCCACATGTTTCATATATTAAATTTAGACTTGAAGGTTCCAGATAATTAAAAGAAGTTAATCATGTATAAAAAACGATACAATGAGTGACGATTTAGTCAATAATTTTCAATCAATTAAAAAAACCTTTATATTTTGTGACACCAGATTTTAATAGAAAGTGGAAAATATAATCCGATGCAACAACAGTCAATTTTTTCCAAAAAGGGTAATTTAAAATGAATCACCAATCTAAAGGTTCCATGTTTACATAAATATGACATCTCCGATGTGTTTTGGGTTAAAATATCTGCAAAAATAAATCATTTTTTCGAAAATAAAGCTGCTCGCATTTTATTCTACCCAAATGTAAAATGTATTGGTCCAATTACCCAATTACAGTAATAATAAATTAATCTTATTGTATGTATTATCTGATTGGTTGTCAACTGTCAGCGTAACCAATATGATATAAACTGATGAAAAATAAACGTAAAACACAAATAATTGTGATGACCAATTTGTTTAAGACTTTCCCTTACACATGTATCACCAAAATAAATATTCTTGGCTTTTTTTTTACCATTTAAAGTTAAAAATAGATTTTTATTTTTTATTTGTTTTGGGGGGATGACCAAGGTTAAATGGAATTTATTTATTAAATTTATTATTAAATTAAATTGTACACCTTCCCGCGTCTACAATTTTGATTTATACCAGTCAGGTTTTTGTTTCATCCGATATGTTTTAATTCCATAAATAGCTTCTTCAGAATTCATCATTTCTAAAAACATTTCTTTAATAAAGTTCCGTTTTTTATTATGAATCTCGGTATCATTAAGGACATGGACTAATTTTTTAATTTTCCCCATGGCTTTAGGTGCGCTGCTTAGCAACATTTTAATATACTCTCCAACCTTTTCATTCAATTCGTTGTCATCACCCGCCAACATACTAATAAATCCATCCTCCTGTGCTTGTTTCGCTGAAATCCTTTCTCCCGTTAACATATACTGTCTGGTTTTAAAAGGTCCTAATTCGGCCACAATAAATTGTGAAATAATAGCAGGTATTAACCCCCTTTTGATTTCGCTAAAACAAAAATATACTTTATCTTCATTACATATCCTTATATCTGTCACAAACACCAATCCTATACCACCTCCTAATGCTGGTCCATTTATTTTGGATATGACGGTTTTAGTTGATGATTTTATTGTTTCATAAAATAACGTCCCTATTTCATAGGATCTTTCTATTGAATCAATTTCATCCTTGTTGTTAGAACTGGATTCTGTTTGTTGTAAATCCATTCCTGTACAAAAATATTTCCCTTTTCCTGTTATAACTATTATGCTAATTAAAGGATTGGTTTCTAACTCTTGAAAAATTGAAAGGAATTCGTTTATCATTGAAATTGTTAATGAATTACCATGTTTTGGTCTATTTAATGATATTGTGGCTACTGGATTATTAAGTTCTAAAAGAACCTCCTTTGAACTCATGATTATTTTACCAAAAAAAAAAAAGAAAGAAACGGTTAAAAAAAATCAGGTGTCCTTACTAAATTTAGAGATTTTCCTTGGTGATCGCCATTGTTGTGGCTTAGACGAGATAAAAAAATTTTTTTTATTGTCATTAATTTTGCGCGTTATTATGTTATTATTCTTTTCAAATTGTTCTTCATTTTGATTTCTCAACATATATTGTCTTACAAAAAAAAAATTTTCATCATAACAATGACCAGAATGATTGTACCTTTTGCCTCTACTATAAATTTATTTGGTGATATCTTTCAATTGTTCAATTATCTTTTCACATTTACGTTGGGTGTTTTCAACTTCTTTAAGTACAGTCTTTACGTCTTTATCAACTCTGATCCTTTTTGATAATTGAATTAAAGATACTTCTTCGTCATTAGGCTCATAGAATCTTGGCGGTGAAGGTGAGTCTAATAATGATTGTGGTGCCAATGATTGATCCTCTAAATATTCCTCGGAGGTGTCGGTCTGTGATGTTTCATTTTCATCCAACTTCCTCTTTAACATCTTTAATACAGGTACAAAACATTCATCTGTGAGATCGGTCGATGTAATATCACTATCTGCGACGACATCATCGCCAAATATTCCTTCCATCTCTTCAAAAAAATCAAAGTCCATAGGTTCAACTCCTGTTTTCATACATTCATGTACCGAATTATAATCGGCAACCAATCGAGCCCACCTTTTATTATAATTTATTGTGTCATCAGAATGAAATGAGCTTTTAAAATTTTACAAAATCAAATGTTTATAATTCAAATACCTCAATTTAAAGGCTTTCAAGGTTCTTCCTGAATATCTTGTACAATGATCCGAGAACATATCACTCCAAATCCGTGATTTCTCAGCATTACGTTGTGCCGCCAATAATAACTTGTGTTTGGATTTAACAGCAGTGATCAATGACCGAGTTTCCTTTCTACTCCAATTAGAACGACTTTTCTTCTTATCTTTACTACTTTCAATCTTACAACTAATATTAGGTATTGAAGATGGTGTCTCATTGTAGTCTTTTTTCTTTATGGCTTCTTCCAGATGAATGTTTAATAAAACCGGGTCTTTGAGGAAAAAAGAAAAAGAAAGAAAGTAAAAAAAAAATAAAATTTGAATGAATGAATAAAATAAATCTAAATTTTCAAATTATAAATTAAAACTTGTCTTACCGATATTTTCCTGAGTGAAAGTATTCTCATCACCTTGCGACTTAATGGTTGCACGTTGTACCTTTATACCCTCTATCTCCAATAAACTATTGTCACTTTCAAAATCTTCACTTTCAAGATTTGAATTTAGATCATCTTTAAAATCCAATTTTCTTCGACGTACATTAGTAAAAGCGGAACTATGACTCAAATGATGTGATGGCGGTGAAGAATTAAGGATTGAATGTAAATTTGAAGTAAGAGATGGTAGTTGCCTATTATCATTAAGATATGGACGTACAGGAATTGAACTCCTTAAATATTCTTGTCTGCTATTATACATTGATATATTATCATTTGCAGACCATGTCGATACGTTATATGGTGGACCCATTGAACCGGCGATATTCTTGTTAGGTTGATAATATTCAGAATAATATGCTGGCCAATAAGTGGTGGTATATGGTGTGTTCATCAAATCATAAGTAATTGAAGGTTTAGGTAAATAGAAATTAGGAGTTGAGGTTTTGATCTCGTGTTTTATTGACATTCCAAAATCATTTATTGAATCAAAAGGTTGAAAGGTTGTTTGTGCGGAAGAACTTCCACGAAGAATAGAATCCGCACTCTCATGTAAAGGAGAAGGGTTTGGTAAATTAGAAATTGATGGTAACATGAATTTTGGAGGGTTGCTTCTTTCATTTTCAGGGACCGTCTTATCCATCGCAACAAAAATGTTCTGTATAATATTAAATTATTATTAGGTATTAAATCTCGAAATAATAAAAAAGAGAAGTAGTTCCGACGCGATAGGTCAGTCTTTTTATACTTTAAACAAATATTTGATATAAACAACGTGACGTTTTATTTTAAAAGAACGTGTTTTTTTATTTATATGCGATAAAACAAACAAACACAGATGATGTCGCACAAATTTCCGTTTTGAGGTCATGGGTTATTGCAAGTACAGTTAGTTTAGTTTACTCTATTATATAATATAAATATACGCGTAAAATATTTTCAAGGAAGAAGAATTATACATATCGTATTTGGAAACAAAGCATATACTATTATATTGCCTTCTTGATCCTCGTAACGAGAAATGAGGAGTTCTTTGTTTTCATCACTCAAAATTTGCTGATCATCTATTTTTTTTTGATGATCGAATTATGATCTTAACGATAAAGTTAAAATTCTATGATTTTATAAATCGTTTTTAACATGGGTTGCCTGAAATGTTGTTTTTCTTTAATAAACATGATGTTCTGTATGGGCATGGTTTACGAACTTGCTAGTATTCGGAAGAACGAATGATGCAATCAAGAAGCCGCATTCTTTGTTCTATCATCAAAATTTTTGTCATATTAACCGTAATAATAGGATCATAAAGGTTAACTATTAGTTAACAATCTACCCATAGAACTAAAAAAAAACTGAATTATATACTCTCCTTGCAAAAATGCTAATAAATTTTTTATTAAAAGCTAGTTATTTCCTTTTATTATTATTCCAATTCTTGATTACCTTTTCCTCCTTAAATTAAATCTTTATTTTTGATTAAATTTCTCAATTAGAAATTTTTAAAATTTTATTTTTATTTTTTTGGTCTCATATTTTTAAATAATTTAATATAACAAATCTCTTATTCAGTTTTTTCTTACTATATCAATTAATAATATAGTCAATTTTCACTTTTAATTTATTTACATTTTCTATAACTTTGAAGTTTTGCATTTATATTAATTTTTATATACAAATTTCCAATTCTCTTTTCTAAAAAATTAAGACTAATTTATATAAAATTAATATTATATTAACTTATTATATTCAAAGATTTTTATGCTAAATCAAAAAAAAAAAACTCAAAATCAAATTTTATTAGTAATTAAAGATAATTTATAAACATCTGAGTTATACTATTAACAATAGAAGAAGTAAAGAAAATTTTGTTTGTATTATATGTCAATTTTGTAGATAATCATCTAAAATTATTGAAAAATATTTGAATTTTATAGTTTTAAATTTTATTCATTTTTCAATTACTAAAAAATGCTTACTATAAATGGTCTATTTTAATATTACTTAATATTACCTACATAATATAGATATTAATTTTCTTATAAATATTATTAGAAATAGCTTTTCATTTATAATTATTTTACAATACATTTTAGTTTTCAAGAGTTAACTTTCTATTATCTTTATAATATGAATATCATAAACTAGAATTTTTAATATTATGATATTATGAGATAAACTATTCTAAATATGAATTTTTAATATTTTAATATTATTAAAATATTAAAGTTTTTATATATGATTGAAAGATATTTACCATTATAATTAAATGTATTTGATTAGCATCTTTAAGCAATGTATAAAATTCATATGTATAATGTGCATATGTGCACATTAAATTTTTGTGTATACATATTATATAGCATAAAATATATACAAATAATTAATAAAAATAGATAAATTCTATATAAAAATAGATAATTATTTATAAAAATGTAAATACTATGTAATATATGCATTAATTTTCTACTTTTAGTATAACTTATGCACATAATTTTTGGTCTAAATTTTATACACTATCTTTAAGAGTAAAAATGAGTATTACTTACATAATCTAAATATTTACTATTTTTTATATTATCAAAAATACATATTACAAATGATTTTTTTTGTAATGTTACGATAATAGTTTTATATTTAATTGAAAGTTATTCTTTATATTAAATAATATAATTTTTTAATAACTTTAAGAGTATATTTATATTACCTATATAATGCAAATATTATATTTATAATTTTTAATTTACTAAATAGAGTATATGGAACCTTTGTAATAGAAAAGAGGGAAATGGCTAGAAAAAATAAAAAATGAGTTAATGCTAAATCTGAACATATTTTGACTTAAAAATTATATTTGGCATATAAAAGTAAAATTGATTTTTTCTGACAGTTTTCCCCCTTTCTATTGCAAAGGTCCCATATTATTATTTTTAGAATAGTGCTATTTTAATAAGTTTATATTTAGTTAAAAAATATTTTTACTATAAAATTCAGTAATAAATATAAGCATTATTTAAGAATAATTTTTTTATAGTAAATAAAAATTTACTAATTTTTAGATTTTATTTCTTTAATTTTAAATGAATATTCTAATTAAAATAGGATAATGTACCTATTATTTATTTTATTATCCCTTAAACTGTAAGTATAAAATTATTTTTAAAATATTTTAAAATACTTAAAATATTTTGATATAAAATTAATAATGATAACTTTATAGCTAATCCTCATTTCTAATATAACTAAAAAAAAAATAACAGAAATAACAACAATAATAAGTCTAACAAGACTTGCTCTTCTTCTTCAAATAACGACTAATAATAATGATTAGCAAAGAAACAGTTCTTAGAATTGTCTCAACAATCTGAGGCTTCGTCTTCAAAAAATACTCCAAAAAAATGACATATCAGCTAATATGAATATTGAAACTACTGTTCTTTCAACTAACGACAAAGGAAAAATATCTGAAACTTTCCTATCCTTTTCAGAAGTCTCTTTAGATATCAACCAATCTTTTAATACAATTGAAAATAGTCTCAATAATAATAATAAAGTTAGTGGTATTCATCTTGAATGAGAAACAAATGCTTCCATTTATTTTATCTACTATGTTACAGAGAAATTTTTCCAATAAAAACAAATCAAAAAAAACAAAATAAAGCATGTAACATCTTTGCATTACATTATGTATCTTTCATTAGTACTTCAATATGTACTCACCCTGACGACCTTAACAAAAAAATTGTCTGAATTGGTTTTATTTTATGCAATAAAGCAAATAATGCAATTATTCTTAAACTTTCTAATTTGAATAATGATACATTTTTACCCTTAATCATTAAACTAACCACAAAATATATTCCTAAATTATCGATCAGAGTTACTAAGATCTGGATCTCTACTATAAAGTCTAATTTGAGATCTATTTTCTCCTTTTTGACAAGATCATTAAATGCATTATGTTCACAAAAAACCTTTGGTAGCAAACAATCATTACGTTTAAAGATAAAATTGACATAATTACTCTCTTTAAACTAAATAGTTATTTTATTCTAAAGATCTTATTAGAGTATATTTATGCATTATATTAAATGAAGAAGTTAAAAAGAAATCGCAATTTTCCCTTAAACTTACTAACCTACCTTTAAATACTAATAAAAGATACCTAATCTTGATCAGTAATGCGATTGAAACTATTGCATAAGTTATTTCTAAATCATGTACTAATTATCAAAATCTTCAATATGCTATATTTTACTTAAAGACAAAGAATCATGAATGCTACCAAAAATGGGAAAACTTTTTATATTGACAGAAAGAAACTTATCTAGGCAAACTTAAACTTAAAACTAAGTTTTATTTGTCAAACTCTTAGTTATCAATTGCAAAATTGCCATAAGAAAAGATTAATTTCAAGAGATTGTCAAACACAATAATTCTATCAAAAATTCTAACCTGCGTAGTTTTGTAATTATCAAGCTTTGACGTTAAGTCTAAGCTAATGTTACCTAACAAATTACCATAAAATAATGATGATTAATCTAACAAAATTTACTAAAAATAGCTATAATTCGATTAATACCATCATATCCGTCAACCTAAAAAAGTAGTTTTCAAAAACCTTTAGAAAATCCAATCCTTTACCTATCTATCAATCCAATAAACCTAAGAATCTAATTAATTATAAGGGTAAAGAAACATTAGATGCTAGCATCTATGTATATAGTTTTTAGACAGATGACTATGAATATGACTACCATTAACTACATATTAACAATGGTTAACTAGAGTAATCTAATATGCTCACTAAAATTTTTAACCAACTAGAAGCCATCATTGATCAATTAGCCAAAATGGATTGTGACTTACATTCTACTATTGAACAAGTATTAGTAGTTGAAACTGTCTTTAACATTGCTATGTTCTCACCTAATCAAACTGATTTACTTAATAAAGCTTTAAATAAAAATGGCATAGAAATAGAAGAAAATACATACACTGTCGGTCATAACATCAAAAATAACATTGTAAAAAAATAAGTTGCTAAAATCGCCTATCTCAAAGAAGAAAATGCTTTACTTAGAACTAACTTAAAAGATAACTTTCTCAAATTTAACAACGCAAGTCGAGCAATTGTCAATATGCAATATTTATTCTAAACTTAACTCTAAATTAATTCTGATGCATTCATTAATATAGTTGAGATTAGGGATGGGAAATTAACAGTTAATTAAGATTTGGTTAATTAACTGTAATATAAATTTTAATATAAGATTTTATATAAAAAAAAATTTTTTTAATTTTTTATTTATTGTTATCACAATATTAATCGTTATCGCAATATTACTTATTAAATGGAAATTTATTATTTCAAATAGCTATATATTGATATTATTATAATAAATTTAT